TTTTTTTTTTTTTTTTTTTTAAAAAAAAAAAAAAAAAAAAAAAAAAAAAAAAAAAAAACCAAAACCCACAGACTCCCCAGAAACTAATAGTGGTAGCTTGGTTTAATAGCTTCCTCCTGCTGCTGCAGCGGAGCACAAGCTTTCTGCCAGAGTAACGCTGTTCACTTTTTCCAGCCTGGAAACTTAAGATTGGCAGTTCAAAACTAAATATAGCCTCTCTGGTTGCAGTGAGTGACTCAAGCGGTAGCTAGCTGCCGGCTGGCCTGACCTCTCAGAGTTTCCAGTGTGCCACGCTGCATCTCTTATCGTGAGTAACAAGAGCAGGTGGGGAGCTCCACTGGATTTTCACTTCTTTTTTTTTCCAAAATCCAGTTTTCTGTCTGCACAACTGACAAATGCAAGGAACTAGAGACTGTTGAAGCCATTCTTGGCTTCCCCCTGCCTTTTTTGAACCCCCTTTTGAATGTTTTTGAGTTAGGGATTTGCAGGATGCCAGTGCAATAGCTAGGCACCACGTATGAAGCCAACTCATGCATTTTGATGGTCTTGCTCTTAGCCTGTTTTCTGGTGAGCAGTGCACATTTATCGAGCTTGATAGCTGAATCCGGTTCTGAGAAATCGCAGCCTGAAAACCACAAGAACAGCAGAGGAAAATTTCTGCCCAGGTGGCAGCAAACAGATCATTGTGGCCTTGCAGACAATAGGAGAAATCTCAAAAAGACCAGCACAAAATGTGAAACTGGTTGCGAGACAAACGTGATGTTAATTGCTTGCTTTCTGTCCCTGTTCTAGCATGAATACAACAGTATCCCAGGTATTTTGTAATGGGAAGAATATTAGCAGGTGAAGCAAACTCACGGATAAATATTGACAGGACAAAAACAATTTGCCTAGTCCAAATTCTCCCAGCCTAAGAATTGGTTGGTTGGTAACTCGGTAATAGGGTAAACCCCTCACCCAGGCTCACTTTGTAGAACAGAAATCCTGTAGAGAAGTCCTAAACCTAAAGTCTTTGTGATCCTGAGATGTGCTTCCTCGTGCACTTTGAAATCTGAAGTCATGCTGACGGTATTAAGTTTCCCCATATGTTATACTGGGTCCTGGAAGCTTTCCATCTTGTTTTATAGCTTTAAACTACAAGGAGGAAAAGGGATTAAAGGCTCATAAAATGGGGTTGTTGAGTAGTAGCAACAAGACGGTGTCTGTAAGACGCCCAGAACCACTAGGCTTGGAGTAATGAAAATTGGAGATAATGGTGGAAACTTCCCCCACGAAAAGAGAGCAGTACTGGTTTGGCTGGGGTATCCAATGCATCTTTATCTTTTACCATGACCTTGACTGAAAGCTGTGCAACTGCGTTCTCTGTTCCGGAAAGTAGGAAGTAATCAAATGGGAGGGGAAGGGAAGGAAAACGACATTCGTGTCTGGATGAATCGCTACGTACTCCCAAATATTGACATGGACATGAATAGGGGGAGGAGAGTGCTACGTTTCAAACCCGTGATGCTTGAAGTTCAACAGAGTTTTATTCCTATGTGTAGGGGAAGACTAAATGAAATCTTAATGCTTTGGGTCTTACCTGGGGATGTAGGCGTGACAGTAGGTAGTCACTCACTTGTCACATCTTAAGACCTGGGTTCAGGCCCCGTTGTAGTCCACAGATGGAGTAAACCAGTCTCGAGCGGCACCATCATATACCCTGACGAGGGAGCTGAATGCTGCTCAGCAAAGGCCCAGGGCTGCAATCAAGTGGGTAAAGTAGCTTGTAGATGTACTGACGAGATGGATCCAATCAGGATACAAGAGCTCCTGGCTTTGAACATTTCCTCCCATCCCCAAAAGAGTTTGGGAGGGAACCAGTGTGTCTGTACCCATGCACTCTTAATGCCAAGTCTAAGAGCTTACCAGGACTCAGTGTTGCTAACAAAGCATCGCATATAAGTTGATACTGGGGCTCAGGCCTTGAGGAACGGGCCCTGTGACTAATGCATAGACTTATTTCCAGTTGCAAAACTTGCATTGCAAAGTTAAAGATTCTGCTAAACGCTGTTTTGTTTTGTTTTGTTTTTTTCCCTTCCCTTCCCTTCCCCTAGATTTCTGAGTCCACTCAACATGCTGCTTGGCGGTACCGTGGTGGTGCTGGTGTTCATGGGGTTTGTGTGGGCATCGCACAACAAGGATATACTTGGCAGGTTTAAGAGGCAGTACCCAACTGCGTTTGTGGCAGCTATCATGTTGTCTAGCTACTTCCTGATCTCCTGTGTTGGAGATGTCATGGTGTTCATATTTGGGATCACACTTCCTCTGCTGTGTAAGTAATGCTTTGCATATTTATTTTTTTTTTAAGCAATGAAGATTTACTTATCTGCAGTCTGAAATATGGCTCGCAAATTTGCTTTTTAATATAAAAAGAGGCTTTTAAACTCTCCAAAGCCATACCCTGTGCATCGGTTTCTTCACTGCCCAGGAAGAAACCCATTATCTAATAATTTTGTATTGAAAGCAACTTGCATGATTACTTATGACCTAATCTTAGATGTCATGGAAAGCTACTTGAAGTGCACGGGTGAAGAGCTAGATATTTAGGGAATGCCAATTTAACAGACTTTTGGTTTTCTGTCCTGTTCTAGTGACTTTTATCCATGCTTCCCTGAGGCTCCGGAACATAAAGAACAAACTGGAGAATAAAATGGAAGGAATAGGTTTGAAGAAGACCCCGATGGGCATAATACTTGATGCTCTTGAACAGCAAGAAGAGAGCATCAACAAACTGGCCGACTACCTTTCTAAAGTAAAGGAATAAAGGGCGTATGAGGTGGTGGTTATTACCTGTTGCAGGAATTGAGTTGCTCTTTTTGCTTTTTTCAAGCTTGCTTTCAGTTCGTGTGTGTGTGTGAAGTGAGATGCGCACACTGCACAGATTTACCAGTGGCAAGATGCAGGTATTCGAAGCTGTTCAGGGCTTCCCTGAGAATACGGAGGAGCTATTTAACCTTTCTATTTATGGTAAAGCGTCCCAGTGTTTGCACATACACACACCATTTTAAAGCATTTGCCTGTTTTGTTTTGTTTTGTTTTTCTTGGAGGGGGGGGGATACCTGGAACGTACTCTCTAAAGCTGTCTTTAGTAGTCAAGTGTTTTGTATAAGTGTTTTTATAATCTACTTACTGGAGAGAGAGGAGGGGAACGGCCTGTACTTTAATACAGTATTGGTTGGCTAATGTCACGCTACATCACTTGGCAGAGTCAAGACCAGAGACAACTTCCAGCTAATTGTAAATGCACTGTTACTTTTTTTTTTTTTTTTAAAGTTTTCTCTGAGCTAGGCCACCTTTCCACCTGACGGGACAAATGGAAAGAGCAAGCTTACACTGGTAACTGTGCTCATTTTGTAACCAATTGGAATTCCCCTTCTGTTTACATTCTGACTTATTTAATATTACTTTTTCTTTTCTTTTTTGAAATACCCATTTAGATTTTGAACTGTTGTTAACATGTCAGACTATTCCCCGTGTCGTGGGCACAGCTGAATGGCACAATGCAAATTCCACAAAGCGCATGTAGGAGAGGCATGTCAGCCTCGTATCTCAGCAAGGCCCTTGTTCCGGTGGAGTCCCTGGAAGTTGGACTGTTCACTTCAGCAGAGCCAGGATTTTGCAGTTTCATAAAATCTTGCTTATAGCAAGGATTCTGCCCTATTGGCGTTCCGAAAAAATCTCTTGCCTTGTTCTGCTCGTGAGCGGAGAAACAACAACGCAAGCTAAAATACAAATCTTACCAACTAGCTTGTTCACTTCTGGCACTGCTCAAGGGAAAGGAGGCTCAGCTTCAGGTTTACGAATAAAAGCAATAAATCAATAGATGCGCACACTTCTAGAACCCATTCCAAATTCTTGCAGGAAACTGCGTGCACCACTTCACGGTGTTTTGTTTTTTTTCCCAGGAAACTTTTAGCTTGAAATGCCAGTTCTGAGTGCCATTGCAAGTTCAGGATTTGTCTAAACTTCAAGCCAGGAAAATATGTTGTCTAGTTTAACATGGCATAGGGGTGTGGGGCCATCCCTCTTGTGTGTATCACCTCGCTGTGAAGTATGGAGCTGTAATTGTTTTTCCACCCTACATTGTGGATAAAGTAGACTTCCCCCTCCAAAGCCTTCAGAAAGTGTATATAACCCTTGCACCTATTTGTTCTAGAAGCCTGAACCACCTCATTCCATGCAAACATTATGAAATGATCAGTATTTATTCTAAGCATGTCTCTGTATAGTACAGGATAAGAAGCAAGGGCCTGCTCCTTATTCTTTTGTCTTTAGTTTTGATGAGTATTTCCATACATGCATTACAGAAGAAATGCTAGCTTCTGCCATCATGGTTAAATTGTAGCATTTTAAAAAAAAAAAATCACAGTTGTGAAGAATAAAGTTTAACAAGTGAAACTGCAAGTGCATCTTATTTTAATTTAAGATATGCTAACATTTTAAAGTGGGTGTGGAGCAGAAGCATCCTAAACCCACTATCCAGAACTTCTCCTAGGAGTGGCGTGACCATGGCAGCAGTAATTATAGAAACCCAAAGGGCATTTAATAGTTGCTTATGCTGTGGGGACCCATCCAGTGAGGGATACACTGCTAGGGTCACTACTTCAAGACAAAATAGCATGTAGATAGAATAAGATCTAATGGGGGTATACTGGGGCTTGCCTGCTTCTCCATGCTTTCTGAATTGGTGTGGCATAAAGCTTCTGGTGCCCAAGCTACCTTAGATGCAGAACAGCAACTCCTATCTACCCTGCCTCCCTGTATTGAAACCTACCTTCTGGCCATGCTCCTTTCTTGAAGCTTTATTAGATCCTGTTGCAAGTTCCTCGTTGATGCTTGAGAAGTGGCTAAATGAAGCGTGAAATGGGCCATTTTCATTTATGTCACCAGTCTGGTCCAGATCCAGGTGACAGATTCAAAACTATAAGAGCGCATGGCCCTTCATTAGTCTACAACAGAAGCAGTAAGTGACTTTTCCTTCTAACCTCTGAGTGGAAAGAATCGAGGGTTGCTGTCCCTTCCCAGAGCATTTCACAGTGCAGGACAAAGCTCTGTTTGCTTTCTTCGTACCCACTTCCCCCAACACCTTTTTTTCACCTATCCTACAAGTAGTAGACATCAGAAAATGGTAAAACAATAGCAGTCCCTAGAAGGCTTCCCTCCTCATAGAGAAACTCCAGGGACAGAGGGCTATGGTAACAACGCCTTAGCTGCCAGGAAGAAGGAGTTTCTAGAAAATTGGAGTTATGATGAGCCCCGAGACTCTCTGCCCCGAGACTGCCACCAAATCCTAGACCAGTCCTGGCTGATAAATGATCAAGGAAAACATGGCACCATCTTGGGTCCTCAATCAGTTGGTGGGGGCACAATTAGTCTGAGGAGTCTATGCCTGTATCCATCATTTAGAAAAACTGGACAAAGAGATGATACAAATACACCACCCAGTTCACTTTTTCCCCCCCCCCCGTTATTTTTACCTTCTGAAGTGAGATGCAATAAAGCTACTTTTACACAGTGTTTCCACAGGCACCATCTTAAATACGCCAATTAAGTGTCATTCTGTAAATGTATACAACACCTGACAAATAGGAAGATCCCTCCCTTTGCCCCTACAACATTTGCAATCGGGCCGTTCTACTTGATGGGTGTGTGGGAGTTGAGTGAAGCTGGAAGGGCGCACCTCCGGGACAGACTTGGAGGTGAAGAGCTTTGATGCATGGCAAAGGGGTGGAGTACAGGGGCCACGTAATAGGAAGCTTAGAGCAGGGGGAGAGCAAAAGAAATGAGATCAGCTAAAGAGAAAGATTAGGTAGGGCTGGGAAGACACGTGGGATGCTGACAATCCAGGCAAAGGGAACATGGAGCAACAGAAGAAGATCCCCAAGGACAGAAGAGGATATACGCCAGCTGCAAGTATTTAAGAGCGGTGGAAGGTGAGTTTTAAGCATGCGAGGAGGAAACGGCATCCAGCAGAACAAAAAAGGGGGAAAATAGACTTGTAGCTGTGAAAATAACCAACAAGACCTGCGTCCTTGGGAAGGAAAGAGCTCGCTCAACTTGTACAGACAAAAAGATTGGGATATAAAAATGCACCCGTTAGCAAAAAGGAGGAATGTGGGGGAAAGATCAGTGGCAGATCAACTGAGGAGGGCCTGGCATGGGAAATCTCCCTTTCTCGGCATGTTTTGTCAGTGCTCGACAACCAGGGCTTGAAGCAAGGTTTCACCTCCGCGTGTGTAAAAGGATGGGGATTTCCAGGAACTATTTAAAAACCATCAAGTTGTGCAAAGCTGGGCTCTGCGATGCCATGCAAGAGGACAGTGCTGTTCTCTCTCCCAGGTAGAAGGAACTACCTGTTTTGCAAAGGCAGTCTGCTAAACCCCAAATGAAGAAAAAGCCTGGCGAGACTCAAGCATTCCTCCTATATGGAGCAGAGTTGAGGGACACCTGCAACAGGTCTTTCCTGGTCTCGTTCGGCAGGTGACTGCAATACGCAGCACAGCACAGGGGGGGCTGAGAAGTGAATCAGGGTGGTAACAAGGACAGAGAGAAACCCGGAGGAGGAGGAAAAAGGATTGCATCGCTCCCCAAAAGTCCTGGCTTCATCTTTGAACTGTTGCCCAGGATAGACTACTTGCCCAAATGCATTCTGGGATAGGTGGAGTTTGAAACCATCAGATCTTTGGGTTTTTGCATGCTTT